GGGCTGGACCCCCCCTTTCCGAGGCCGCTCGTGGGCGCGGGGCCGGGAGAGCCGGTGGTCGGGCGGGGCTGTGCCGAGCTTGCTCAGGCTGGGTAGGTGTAGGGGCGTCCCTGACTTCCGGTGTGCCCGCAGTGGGGGGCCGGCATCCGCGGGGCGCGGGGTGGGAGGCAGAAAGTTTTGATGGGACACGGCTCGCGGGGATTTGGATGATGCGGATCCTCGTAAAGTTACTTTCGGAGACCAGTTCATTGTGGCCACGCCCGCCCGCCCCTCCTTGCTAGTGGAGATACTGTGACGGACAGCACGATGACCCTTTTCCCGGGTTGTCTAAGTCCTCTGCCATCTACTGGCGTCGTTAGCCAGTGCCTTAAGGCGCCCAGGTGGCACCGGGGGGTTAGCACCGAGCTCCCTGTTGGAGGTCTCAGGTTCAAATCCACCAGCCTCACTGCGGGACAGACTGTGGGCTCCATGGCAGTGTTCTGGATTTAGCTTTAGCTAAGAAACAACAAAGCTACCTTTATTGAACACCTGGACTTCAACACACACTGCCCTGAGTCAGCTTTGACCCATAGCGAGGCACAAGGTAGAAGTGTCCCGATGGGTCCAGAGACTAAACTCTTTACGGGGTGAAAAGCCTCCTCTTTCTCCCACGTGGGGTTCAATGACGTGAAAATTGTGTTCCTGTGATGACGTAGGACAGTGGCTCTCAACTTTCCTAACTCCTTGACCCTTTCATACAGTTCCTTAAGGTTTGGTGACAACCCCCCCCCCCCATAAAATTATTTTGGATGCTACTTCATCACTAATTTTGCTACTGTTACGAATCGGGCAACCCCTGTGAAAGGGTTGTTCAACCCCCAAAGGGGTCGAGACCCACAGGCTGAGAACCGCTGCCCTAGGACTTAACCAGGGTTGGGGTGAATGCCCCCACAGAGTCCTCCCCATCCACTTCCCAAAAATGTAACTTTTGGGCACACCATTCTGGTGGTCTTGGGAACTCAGAAGAGCCAGAGGTCAAGGTGACTCTCCCCATGGGACAGGTTCACACTCAGCACCTGGACTTAAAGTGCCGGGCGGTCCATCCCGACTCATATAGCACCCCCTATAGGACAGAGTAGACTGCTCCCAAGGCTTTCCCAGGCTGGGAATCTCCACCGGCAGCAGCTAGAGGGTTCAAACTGCTGACCTTGGGGTGAGCAGCCCAGCTGGTAACTCACTGGGCCACCAGGGCTGCCTCACGTACTCCTTTGCCATATAAAAACAGGGTCTCCGCTCTCATCTCTTTTGACGATCTGCTTTCTAGGAAACTCCTCCCTTCAGAACACTGATTTAAAAGCAAAACCTCATGCATGTCGTGTGCGCACCTTGTCCCAGCGAGCAGCTTGTGTGCTGCGGAGTGCTGTGTGCAGTGTTCCCGTGTGCATCGCCTTTCACCCCCACTGAGTGCCCGGTGTGTGGTCCCTCCAGGTTGACATCGTGGACATCTGTGAGTGCATCCTGGGGAGGCAGCGGCATGAGAGCGAGCGGTCCACGTGCAGCTTCCTGGAGCAGACAGACATCGAAGCGGTTGAGGCGCTTGTTTGCATGAGCTCGTGGGGGCAAAGATCCCAGAAGGGGGATCTGCTGAAGATAAGACCCCTCACACCTGTCTCTGACTCTGGGGACGCCCCTGCCTCTGTGCATGTGGACACAGCTGCCTCAGAACTACCAAAGGACTTCCACTCTTTATCGACTCTGGTAAGGAAACATGGGGAGAGATGTGTTTGTTGCTCTTAAGTTTTGTGAAGGAGGTGTTGTCAATAGGTGTTGAAGCGTTCCCCGGTAGATTGCCTGAGATGCTGGCCATAAAGTTGCATGGGCTCCCTCCCCCGTTTGTCTCTGGACAGCTCTTCTATCTCTTGAAACCTGAACTCTTTCCAGCAGTGGTCAGTGGCTTGCTAGCCACAGCCTGCGGATTGATGTAAGAGAGCTCTTCAGATGTGCCCGTTTCCCCAGGGAATCCTGGGTGGGTGCCGAGTCCTCCCTGGAAGGCCAGGAGCTCTGCATGGCAGCCAGGGAAAGTGCCTGGTCATCCTCCGGCCGCCTTGACCGCCTTGAAACCCAGCCTATGCCTGCTTGGCCGTGAGCACGGTTTGTGTGCCCCTAGCTTGTGATCGCTGTGGAGTGGCTGGGAGAAGCTGAACTGCAGGTGGCTATCAGAAATAAACATTATTTCTGATAATGTCAGGGTGCAGTGTAGCAACAATGAAACATAGAACTTTCCTCTAGTTCCTAAATGCTTCTTCTACCCTCCCCCCCACCCTCACCCTGTGCTGTCATGGTCCCGATTCTGTCTTTCAAATCTGGCTAGACCAGAGGATGTACACTGGTACAGACAGGAACTGGAAACACAGGGAGTCCAGGACGATGATCCTTTCAGGACCAGTGCTGAGAGTGGCGATACCAGGAGGGTGGAAGGAAGGTGGGGTGGAAAGGGGGAACCAATTATAAGGTTGTACATATAATCCCCTCCCTGGGGGACAGACAACAGAAAAGTGGGTGAAGGGAGACGATGGACAGCGTAAGATATGACAAAATAATAATTTATAAATTATCAAGGGTTCATGTGGGCGGGGAGGGAGGGGGGGAAATGAGCTGATACCAAGGGCTCAAGTAGAAAGCAAATGTTTCGAGAATGATGAGGGCAGTAAATGTAGCGGCAGCCCGGCTGGCGATGGGCTCTGCCTGAGCGTGGGCAGGGCAGTACAAAACTGGGAGGTCTGGGTGGCAAGTATAAGACTCGCTGATTGGCTCTGGTGATTTTGGGGTAGTTCTGATAGCAAGTAGCTGTTGGATGTATGTTTGTGAAGTGTTTACCACCGGAAATTAAAGAGATTCTGTTTTGGTGGCTGGGGAGAGGGAGAGGAGGTTGTGAAATTCTTTTAAAAATAATCCTTTTGGCATCATCAGAACAAAAAATCTCACCATAGTGAATGATGGGGGCAGTGCGGAGTGGAGATCCAAAGCCCATTAGTAGGCCACTGGAGATCCCCTTGCAGAGGGGTCGCGGGGAGGAGATGAGC